TTTCAAGGTTGTGAAGCCTTTCTCAAAAGTTTTAAAACTTGCCAATGGAACTCAAAGATTGCAAGTTATTCCTTTTACAAAATCCTCAATTTTCATCGATCATTATGACATAAGATTTTGTGGTATCCACTTGTGTAAATATTTTAAATTGACGATCAAATTAGTTCATTGTATTCAAATAAGATCAAGGAGTGTAGCTGTAAAAAAATCATCAAAATCGAAGTTAAAATAACCGTTAAATTGTGATTTTTCGTTTATAACCGTTGAAAAGTTTTGTCCCGTTACTTTATCTCTGAATGTTTGTTTTTGTTTTTGCAATTTTTTGCGTATGCGATCTCGAAGTATATACAAACATGTTTGACGGTTGGATTGTTGAAACTAGTTTCGTAGAATGCGTATCTCATCAAAACGATAGATTCAATAACAGTTAAGAGTTTATTCTTACTTTCATCAAATATAACATAAGATTTTGGGGTATCCACTAGTGTAAATATTTTTTAAATTGAAGATTGAGTTCATTCATTGCATTCATATGGGGTCAAGGAGTGTACTTGTAAAAAATCATCAAAATCGGAGTTAAAATAACCGTTAAATAGTGATTTTTCGTTGATAACTGTTGAAAAGTTTTGTCCCGTTACTTGATGTTTGAATGTTTTTTTTTTCTGATTTTTGGTGCATGCGATCTCGAAGCATATACAAACAAGTTTGGCGGTTGAATCGTTGAAATTAGTTTCGTAGAATGTGTATCCCATCAAAACGATAGATTCACTAACACTTAGAGTTTATTTATACTTTGATTAAGTATAACATAAGATTTTGTGGTATTCAATAGTGTAAATATTTTAAATTGAAGATCGAACTCATTCATTCATTGTATTCATATATAGGATCAAGGAGTGTAGCTGCAAAAAAGTCATCAAAATCGAAGTTAAAATAACTGTGAAATTGTGATTTTTTGTTTATAACCGTAAAAAAGTTTTGTCCCGTTACTTGATCTTTGAATGTTTTTTTTTTTTTGCAATTTTTGGCATATGTGATTTTGAAGTATATACAAACATATTTGACGATTGGATTGTTGAAACTAGTTTTGTAGAATGTGTATCTCATCAAAACAATAGATTCACTAACACTTAAGAGTTTATTCATACTTTCATTAAGCATAACATAAGATTTTGTGATATCCACTAGTGTAAATATTTTAAATTGAAGATCGTGTTCGTTCATTGTATTCATATAGGGTCAAGGAGTGTATCTGTAAAAAAATCATCAAAATTGGAGTTAAAATAACCGTTAAATCGTGATTTTTCATTGATAACCGTCGAAAAGTTTTGTCACATTACTTGATCTCTGAATGTTTATTTTTTTCGATTTTTGGTGTATGCGATCTCGAAGCATATACAAACAATTTTGATGGTTGGATCGTTGAAATTAGTTTCGTAGAATACGTATCCCATCAAAACGATAGATTCACTAACACTTAGAGTTTATTTATACTTTCATTAAGTATAACATAAGATTTTGTGGTATCCACTAGTGTAAATATGTTCAATTGAAGATCAAATTCATTCATTGTATTCATATAAGGTCAATGAGTGTATCTGTAAAAAATCATCAAAATCGGAGTTAAAATAACCGTTAAATCATGATTTTTCGTTTTATAACCGTAGAAAAGTTTTGAACCATTACTTGATTTCTGAATGTTTTTTTTTTTTTTTGCTGATGCAATCTCGAAGCATATACAAACAAGTTTGATGGTTGGATTGTTGAAATTAGTTTCAAAGAATTCGTATCCCATCAAGTTTAATAGTGTGTGTATATATATATATATATATATTATTTATTTATTTATTAAGTAGATTTAAATTTATTTATTTTGGACGTGTAACACTTAAGAAATTGAATGGTATGTATATTTAAGTTGATCCAATGGTCACCAATTTTTAAAATTTAATTTAATATATATATATATATATAAAAAATATATAATCAAGCGACACTAGTCTTCTTTTAACCGACGCTAAATTTATGTCGATTACAAGCGACACCGAATTTCAAAAATATTTAATAAAAATTAAAACTTATGTCGCCTACAACAGACACTGGCTTTGAAAATATGTAAAAAAACTATCATTAGTGTCTGAAAAAAGCAACACACTAGTCTTCTTTTAACCGACGCTGACATTATGTCGGTTAAAAGCGACATAGTTTTTTTTAATGCAACACCACTATTAAAAAAATATTAAAATCTATGTCGGTTATAAGCGACATTAAAGTTTTATGTCGGTTATAAGCGATAGTAATTCCGACACCATGTAAAGTAGGTGTCGGAATGTCTTAAGCACCACTATGTTTTATAAAAGCAACACCAACCACCAACACAATAAGGCCCTTTTGTAGTAGTGTTCGTTGACCGTCTTTTCGTGACGCATACGAGTTACCATTTTATTGTATTCTCGAAGTACTTGATGGTACGAACATGCAAGCGTGAGCGGAATCAAAATTGGAGTTACAATAAAGATTTTATGGAACTACGAATCTGAAATAGTAAAAAAAAGTATTACTATTTTATATATTTTATATATTTCTTTTAATTATTATATTAATATATTATTATGTTATTATTTTTCTGTGGGATATTTTAATTATTTAAACAATATTTTTCTGGCCATGGGCCCACACCCCACTCTTCCCTCGAGTTTTACTAATGTGTCCCAATATTATGCTTAGGTGTGATTACTATCGAAGACTCTGACCTTCCTAGCTCGAACGGATGTAACATCACAAGCACCTGTGAGTGAGTTTTTTCTTTAATATAGTATATATATAATTGTTAGTTTCCATTTATACATTTCATAAAGATTTTTCTACAATACGCCTAGATTAGCGTGACGTTTATAAGATTTAACGCATTGATAGAAATTATGAATCTATGCCACGTCCTACAGGATGCACATGTATGCGTATTAGTATGGATGCTTTAATGGTATTTACGGTTATGAATAGTATTTCATTGACTAGGGTTAATGAATTATCGAGTTATTGATTTACCATTGCATGATCATATTTACATTATCTGCTCATCGTTTGTTGCACCAGTGTTAGTACTCACCCGGGCCAGAACCAACCTTTCACGTGAATGTTCACATCGCACCGTACGCTGACTTTGGATCCATTGTAGGTGCCAGTCCTGTCCTAGATTGCTATAGGCAATCAGGACTCGTATGTGATGTGCATAACGCCAATCTTCACGTGATTGTAGTACTAGAGCGTAAATCATTAATACACTCAGTCATGTTCATGTCAGAATACATTTGCATGAACTCGTGTGTTAGCATGTGTCCATGAGCATTCGATGTGATATGTTTATTTCTGTGAGATATTGTGATTACTGGAAGTTATTTGCTTATTTACGAATTTTGTGAAGTTTTATATTTTTGAGGTATTGCAGACTACGGTAAGTATTTTCATACTATACGTAGTATATCTATTTTGGAAACTATACTTGTTTTACCGCGAGGGGTTATTATGTTTTCAAAAAGGTTTTTATAAAACTTTATTTTTAGGCCTACTCACCTTTGTTTTTCGCCCCTCAGGTTTTAGTGGCTGAGCTTTCGTGTCGACGAGGATTCTTGACAAATCTTGGTATAACATCTTGGTATAGTGGTTACCTTCAATGGTATAATTCTCATCCTACTTTACTGTACTTTACTTATGCTCTAACGTCACGTGTAAATTGGGTTCATTCCTGCTCACAAGCGTACTCTTATATTCAGACACTTTTAGAGTTAAATTTATTCATATTTTCCACATCACTACACTTTATGGCTTTGTCACCCTTCTGGTGTCGGTTAGCATAGCTTGATTTGAAGTCCAGATGAATATTTCAGGTCGGAGTGTGTCAAATTAGTGATTGCGAGTTGAAAAAATAAATGCCTATAAAAAAGCAAGCCCAATGTCAAATTGCAATATTACAAAGAGAAGCGTCACTAAACCAATGGTTAATTGGTACTATCTACACATGCGTGTAACATATGCACGTCGTTATGTGTTTTACATATACTATGGGCAGACAGGCATCCCTATATTCTATTTATAAACGCATTTAATAAATTGAGGAAAACAACAAAGGTGCATCTTTGCTAGCTAGGTTTTCGTTCAACCTCCAAAAAAGTTGGTGCTATTTGCACAAATTGTTTAAAAAATTAAAGGCTTGTTTGGTATTGTATTAAAAAAATTCATAATTTTTCAAAATATTTTTTTAAGAATATCTTTTAATAACAATTTTTTTAAGATCTAAAAAACTTGTTTGTTGTGAGATTCAAAATATTTTTAAAATTTTAATAATTAAAAAGAAAAGAAAAAAAAACCCTACAACAACTCGTCATTGAGGAATTATTACTAAATTTAATTGGACAAACAGAGAGATCTGAAGAGGGTCAGAGGAGAGGGAGGTGAGACAAAAGGAGGGGAGAGAGCAGTGAGTGGG